ACATTTTGTATCAATGTCTTCCTCCTGTATTCAGTTTTGCTTTTTTTTTAAATCTCCAAGTATTTTTTTTTTACCTCTTAGGAACTATGAAAAAAATATATATGGTTTATGCTCTGTTTACATAAGAACGTTGGATACACAATAATAAGAAAAACCATGCAACCTTTAATGGGAATGAGTTTTTGTTGTTGTTGTTGTTGTTGTTGTTGTTTTGCCAGAGCCCATCTCAACAGATTTTTGTTGAGAAAAGCACTAAGATGGTTTATTACAGGAAGGCTTTTTATAGGGTTTTGGTTTCAGTGAGCTCGGTCTGTGACAAAGCAAATTGATGGCAGTGATAGGCTAGTGATGTCATTGTGATGTCAATACTCCTACTTATCCTGCACAAGCTTGCTAGTTTGGAACACTTTATATTGATCTGTGATAGAGGAAACAAGACAGTTCTGTATGCAGAAACCCATCATGGCTGTAACTGGAGATGAAACAGGTAAGAATAATAAAGAGGGGTTTACATTTTGGTTTTGGTTTCTTTTTTTAATTACAGAAAAATTATGTAGGGACCTCTGAGTATTTTCAAAAAGTATTTTCTAGTAGCTAAGGAGTAGGAAGTTTATATATATATATATATATATATTAATCAGCACTTTGTAATAGTAAAGCCATCAGATATAGTGTAATTGTTTCTCTGCTCAGTGTTACATTGTTTACTTGGCCAAAACAGTTATCGGCCCTCCCCCCACCCACCTCCCATTCGGCTCTACTTTAACTGCAACCTGTTGCAAATCTAATGCAGTTACAAGTTAAAATATATTCTGTTCGAATTGTAAAAATTTAAACTTCCAGTTTCTTTGCTGTGTACAAGACAGAATAGGAAAAGCCAGCGTGTTAGGGATGTTTGTGTAACTACTTGTTTCTTTCCTCCTGTATTTAAAATGGTCTGTTCCTCTGCTGAGTTCAAATGGCTGACGTCATTGCATTTCCTGGAATCGTGTTTCGGCAGGGAAGTGGAAAAGTTAAACTCCAAGCGAGCTGCACATTGACGTCAGCCCCTAGTCATGCTGTGATTTAGTCAGTTCCTTTCTGCTTTGTCAAGTACTGCTGACAAATTTAGCGTCTTTCATTAACTAGCTCGGCACCGACTCTTTCTCCAAGATCGCTCTTAGACTGCATAGATTTTCTTGTAAGCTTTCCTTTAACCTTTCTGGTGCGGTAAGTATCCCCTTAACCAGGGGGAACCTCCGTGAAGCCTGTCATGTTCATGCGAGCAGAACTGCGCGCAGTCTGCCCTTTTAGGGGTTCTTTGAGCCCCCGCTGGGCGGCTGCTGAGGGATCCAGCCGAAGTGGGGCTCGGTGGGCTACTGTTGGGGCTTTACAAACCCGGGCAACTCGCGACTCAGGCGCCCTCTAGTGCTCAGGGGAGGAAGTGTGTGTCTGAATAGTGTGTCCCAAATGCTGCTATTTCAGTTTGTAATCAGTCATTCTTTCCATGGTTTGGTTTTCTTAGTTACAGGTAGTGATTTCGACTAACTTGCTTATGTCCTTTCTGTAGTTCAATGTTGTTTCTTCAATGATGTCTTATTTCTAACTCAGGCATGAATTTGCAGTTGAATTCTTGAAGAATGGGTGATCTTAAACAGCTTGACCATAATTGAGCTCTTCAGAGTTAATGGGTCTCAGTCTTTATAGAGAGAATAATTTCATTGTAAAGCCTATATTAAATTGTTTTAAAATTATCTTGAAGAAGTATTGTTTATCTCAGTGAAGTTTTAGAAATGTTGTAGATTGCAGAAGCTCTCAAATGACAAATGTTTAGATGGACTTAATGTAATCTAAAATTTGATTAGAATCAAATTTTTGCCTTTTTGTGCACATATCTATTTTCTAAAAATTATTTCTATCTTCCTTTATTAAGCTTTTAATCTTGATTCTCTCTTTAACTTGTTCAAGCAGAAAAGATTGGTATAAAATAAAATGATTTGAAAACATATATGAAGAAAGTTTAAGGTAAAAATTTGCACAAAATTTTAAGCATTGCTTGTAAATAAATGACCAATTTTTTACATTTTGTTTACAGAATAAGTATACCATTCTGGGAGATTTTTTTATACTCAATTTTATCCAGTGTTGCACTTAATTTCCAAGTTAGATTTTTCAAAATGTAAAACTTTAAAATGTCAAATTTTTCACAAGACCTCATTGTGCCTTTGGAAGTCATTATTTTTGGAAATCAATGCTATTTGAACATAAAACACACACGCACATTTTTTTCCATTAAGGAGCTCAAAGAGCACAGTGCTTCTGGGATCTTTAAAAAATACAATAGAGCAGCTTTAGAACTCATGTCATGTCTTCTGAATTCTGGACTAACAGTCTAGATTGGCAAACCAAGTGAATTGATGTAGTGAATGACACTGTCATGTAAACTGTTTGATGTCAGAGTGTAGTGTGCCTGAATGTGTGCCTTTGTGTATGTATGTCTGCGTTTGTACATCTACCTACATTTACATAAAACAAATGTCAAAAGTAATGCTTTTTATAACCAAGTGTGAAGTTACTCATACTTTCTGTCCTTTTTTGTGTTTAAGTGCTCTTCTTGACCCATGAAATTCACCTTATGATTCATCAATGATCTGTACCTTGTAGTTTGAAAAACTTGTGTAAACTAAAATCAGGCTCCTAACATTAATGGCTGCTCTGGGAAAGGTTTTAGGAATATTTAAGTCTAGCATGGATCATGGAATCAAATGTGAAAAGTGAATATTTTGTATATAATCATATTATTGATTCTGTTGAATATGATTTAAATTTTTATTAGAAACAGGTCTTGGCTATAATTGTATGCTGATTGTATAAGGAGTATAATAATGCTGTATCTTTTTTACTCTGAATCTAAAGAATTTTACTAAATTATTTACAGCCTAGATTTCTAAATTATTATAAACAAACATTTCAACTTAATAAATTTGGAAAATAGTACCATAGTTAACATTCTGATTCATGAGAACAGGGATCCATTTACCTTTGTGAAAGGAGGCTACTGGAAAATTATTTTTGCTTGGAAACTTTCACATAAAAGAATGGTTTGTATCAGGTTGTAACAAATTCTTAAAGTTGGTAGCAAAGAAAGTTACAATCATTTTGAGAGTGAAAATGGCAAGCCACTTATCTCTCAAGTTTCTATAAATTTCCATATCAGTATGGAAGGTTAAATATGTATTCTCTTTCACTATTGTTGAAAAATATTTAGTGAACTATAACTTGGGATTTTAGTTTTGGCTTTTTACTGTTTATTTACCTCTGAATATATTACCTAATCAAATAATTATGATGGTGTTTTCTTGCATTTATGTAAACTTTATTTGTAACTTATTGTTACAAATAAGCAAATAAAAAGATGGTAAATGTGATCAAGATCAAATAATGATAAATCCATAGAAAATAGGTAATATAGGGTAAGGGGTCAGTGTAGGCCTTACTTAAAGAAACCTTCTTTAAATACGCTAGAGGAGAAGCACTTTCCATGCATTCTCACTTAAATAACATGATACACTAAGGAAACTTCTCATTTATTTTACATGGAATGAAACACAGGTCAGAGTTAGGTAAATGAGTCTTCTAAGTTCTAAAACTAACAAGTGGACCTTCAGACTTCTTGTCCAGGTCTGTAAACATATTCATTGCTTCTCAAAATTCACATGACATTTATGAATTAATGCTGTTACATGAATTATAATAGTATAGTTTATACCCTACTTAGAAATGTACAAAATGAAGATGGTATCATTTTAAGCAGTTAAGATTGATTCCCCCTGCTAGAATATTATTACTCTCATAGGAAAACACAGCATGTATTTGTCATTATATAGAAATTTAAATTTCAATATTCATAATTTCTCATCTTTTACTTATTTTTTACTCTTGAGATTTTCATTTCATAAACAACTTAGGAAAGGTCCCTTATGCATGTAACTTTAAGTAAAAATATGTAATAACTTAATTTGTGATTTATGAATTACAGTAATTGTCAACATGTTTGAAAATGTTCAGTACCTAATAGTTGTGTTTAGGTAGGATTTAATTATGTTGGAAAAAGTGGAGCAATAGAGGAGGGAAATTTCTTGACAATGTGAGACATCAACCTGGGACAAATCCAATCTTTGCATCAGGAATCCGGATGTAGAGATAGGGAGGGAAAGTTCCAAAAAAGAACAGTGAAGATGTAAATAGCTTCTTGGAACTCAGAAAAGAAGTCCCCTGGTTATTAACACATCTATGGTAACTCAGTCGCTGTTTAGATGTATTTGCTGTTAGCGACACATAGTGAAGTGATGGATAGTGATTGCAACTCCATATTTTTAACTCTTTATTCAGTTAATATGTTCAGTACTACAAAGATCTCAATAAAAAAACAGCTGGACAAAAATCATCATCATTTGGGGTGTTGATGATAAACTGTTTAACTTCAGGAGGCATTTAACTGTTTTTTGTTTTTTTTTTTTAACTTTGTTCCTGCTTTTAGACATGTGAGGTTTTTGAGTGTTCTTACCAGTCCGAGGAGATAACATTAGTTGGTTATTTGTGATTCTCCATTTTTGAAATTGTTTTTAACGGTGATATATATTGAAAAGGACATTTGCTGTTATCTTTTATTTCTTTAAAGGGATATAAGAAAAATATAACTTAAAATTTTAAAACTTGTTACTAGGAATATTTTTAGACAAGATAAGGAGTAAGAGCCATGCATTTCATTCTATCCCTCAGGTTTGTTAGAAGGGAAACTCCCAGGGAAAATATATTTATGGATATTATGTGCCTTTTAATTTATATAGAATATAAGCATAATTTGGAACGTTGTCTTTCAGAACTTAAGGAAGGGAAGAGGAAGGGAACTAACATTTGCTGAATGCCTACCATGTGCCAGGCACTGTGCTAGACACTTTGACATACATTACAGGGTTTATTGTGAGTATTAAATGAGATAATGTATCCCCATTTTACAGATGAGGAAACTGAACTTGCCCCAAATCACATGGCTGGTAAGTGGCAGAGCTGGACTAGAACCCAGACTCCAAATCCCATGCTTTTTCTGCTGTACCGTGTTTAAAGCTTGCAAAGAGAGGTATGAAGTTAATGACCAGAATTGAGAGTTCTAGGAATTTTCTTTTCCCATGATATATTTTATATTAAATCTAAAACATATATTTCATGTCAGGAGACAAATGGTTAAAAACACACTATAATTATAACTCTTCTGCTTCTATAATGACTAGTATGTAAAGGAAGATTTAGAAAGTGCTTTTTGTCAAGAATGGAGAGTTTGAAAAAATATTAAGCATCTTTAGTATTTTCCATGTTTTTTGTTAAAGACTTAAAGGCCCAGCTATAATAATAGCTAATAAGTCTTATTTAAATAAGACTGCTTATTTTAAAAATTCAAAATGACAGTTGTGTAAAACTCTGGAAAGTTCAAGATCTACTGCATAGTGCACATTTAAACCCACCAAGCCCCTATTATATGCCAAATACTAGAATCTAAGTGATGCCGTGGTAAAAGGAAAAAAAAAAACAAAAACCACCATATCTTATTTTTAAAGTTTTTGCTGGTTTAGAATAAAATTAGTATATAAATATTTTTTCTTATTCTACTTCTTCAATTACAAGTTTATTGAATGACCTACTTATTTTTTAAAATAACTTATACAGTGAAATTCTAGAATAAAAATGAATTTGGACACTTTTAGTAGTAGAAGTAGAAGATGGGACAGGAATTGGCCTTCTAAAGGGCACAGAGATGAAAACATATTAAAGAATATAGGATGTTTCTGTGAACTACAATCCTAGGTATCCAATCTGTTTTAAATTACCATTGAAATAATAGTAAATGATATCTGAAGCTGAAATGGAAATTTCTTTATAACTTGTTTCCAAAACAAAACATTTGACATTTGGATTTCCTCAAAAGACAAGATTCCCTTTGCCCATTTTAAAGTGTATATATTAATAAGGCCATATATAAACAATCCATTGATAATTTTCAGTGACCATTAGAAATGTACCATTATATAAATTCTTTGGGACATTATGGAGATTTATAATAACTCCTACTAATTTATCTATTTTTTCTTATGCTTTAATTAATGAGCTACAATACAGATTTTTGTTGAAGGAGATAAAATGAATATCTAGTATGTCTGAAAAATTGTAATAAAACCCAATTCATTAGCTAACATCCAAGAATGAAGTACATCCAAATATATACTTCTTTCCAAGCTACATTTTGAAATGATGTTTTTTCCTCAGCCGTTGCTCAAATATATTTTAAGAATGTTTCTTTGGAATTGCCATTATTCACCATAGTGCCAAATTTTAGTCCTATGAGGGTGTTTCGAGCTTTTGGAAACAGGCAAATGTTTGGAGCCATTTCTGATTATCACCAGTGAAAGAACTTTATTTTTCACCTGTGAAAATTCCCTCCCTCCCCCTTTAAAAACAAATGAATACTCTTTAACTTTTGTATAACATATTAGCATTCTGCTCTAATTTCATAGTATAGAAAAATAGATGGATACAAATTAGAGAGACAGTCTAGTGAACCCTTCTGTATTGCAGTTCTTTGTAAGTGATATGTATAGAAACAACCGCCCCAAATCAAGTCTGTATCCACACTGCCCGCAGTCGCAGTGCCAACATAGTGACACTTAGATTTCTCATTTGTCACTCACTGTGGTTCCAATTTTGGAAAACCTATGTTGCCTCCAGCTCTTTCATTGTTTCAGCCTTTATTACCTCATAAACTTCTTCCCTTGATGTGGGTAAAGAAAAGAGAGAGTGGTTTCGTGCTTCATTCTATCTCCTTTGATATTATGATTAAAATATAAAACAAAAAAACTTTAGTGAGTTAGGTGTTTATAACTGGTTTTAAAATTATCTTCTGACATTTTACAGAGCTATGAAATTGTCTCCAACATATAAGACATATAATCTCTGTATGCAGTATTTTAAATAGTCACAAAAACCAATTTAGGAGCTTCTCTGAGTTTACTAATAGAGATTTTGCTGGTGATCATTATTTTTATAAGTTACTTTTAATCACCATTGTTTTTTAAATTACATATGGAAGCAGTACAATTTTGTGATACTTTTGTCAATCTTTGGAAGACTGTCCCTCAGTCACATTTTTTTTTTTGGTTTTATTCTCACCTAAATTTTGAGTGGGGTGGGGGAGGAGAGCTGTAGAGAGAACTTGGCATTTTAACCAAAAGAATTGCATGGATTGAAGTTTGAGTGACCTTTTAAATTGCTTGACTTTTTAGTGAAAAGTGAAGTTTTTCCATAAAGTGAAAAATTCTGTTTTTTCTGTTTTTATTCAGTGGGTATTAATGAAATATGGAGGTGCTGTGTTTCATATTTTGACTGACATTTGTTTCAGACCAATTTTTTTAGGATGTATAGCCTTTTGAAAACCTTTTTCATACATTTAGCTTTGAGAGAGCATGTATTTCGTAATATCTTATCAGTGTCACATTAACTCTGCACCATATGTTCTCAGAGTTGAAACAATGGTGGTAGACATATGCTTCATCAGTTAAATCCATCTGTCTTTTCTAAGAAATTGTGTTTATTGCAAAAGATAGACAAATTTTGACTATAAATTTGGAGACTTTGAGGACTGACATTTAGTATTCAACTTGAATACTAAATAAGTGTTAAGTCTGTCATTTAACTGTGATGATAGTTAGGAAATATTTTTTTAAATGAATATTTAGAAATGTATGATCATCTCAAAAGCCAAAGAAACACAAAAATTTTCTCTCCCCAGAGAAACCAGTTTAAGGCAGAACTTTTGCTGTTTTTCATTTGGTCGGTTGGTTTTAAACTAAAAATATCATAAGCCAGATTCCTTTTAGTTCCTCAGTCATTTTCTGGTGATTGGTCTTATACTTAGACATTCAATAACTGTTTGAGGTATGATATATAAGGTTTAGGAAAATCTCTTTAACTGGGCTATCTGTATCAGAAGATACAGATACTCTGCTGAAATAACATTTTTGCAGTGGTGTGTTACAGCCAGTTCCCACTGATTTGCTAGAGCCCACTGTTAAATTTTCCATATTTTTGTGAGCTGTTTTTAAAATGGACATTATTAAAAGCACATAATATATGTATGTGTGTACATATATACAAATATAGACACAAACATAAACTACATTAAAAACAATAGAACTTCATTACATTATTTTACCTATGTTCATTAGGTTATTTGCATCTCTTTTTATCTGTATGGTATGCCACGTACTGTGTATGTCTTCCCAGCTCTACATTCACTGACATCACATTATTACTTGAAATTGGTACAGTGAAAGTATTTGCTTCATGGGAATAGACAAATACTATGTAGATCAGAGCTTTATTTTTTTCCTCTAGAGAGAGATGGTTGTAAAACATTTATCACCACACCACTAATCTTAAGTTAAACTATCTGTTGAAAGCCTCTCTACACCATTCTTGGATTAAAAGAAAAAAAAAAGAAAGCACAACAAATCTTTCTAACCTGCATTAGGACATTTTTCTACCTTGAAGAGGTCATGCTGAATGAATATCATTGTTCCAAAGCTGAAGATGTTTAATACCTAAAATTTCTATAATACTTGCATGTTAAACATTAGTAAGATCACTTCTTATATGTAAAAAGAACCATGTTATTTCCAGGTCAGTTTTATATAAAATATCAAGTTGTAAACTATATAAGCTTGTAATATTCTGTTTCATTACAGCTGCCACCGGTGACATGCCAACTTACCAGATCCGAGCCCCAACGTCTGCTTTGCCACAGGGAGTAGTGATGGCGGCTTCACCAGGAAGCTTGCACAGTCCCCAGCAACTAGCAGAAGAAGCCACACGCAAACGAGAGCTGAGGCTAATGAAAAACAGGTAAGTGTTGCATCAGAAATCAACAACCTCACTTAGGACATGCAATTTATTGCTGCAAGGCTTTAAAAAGAATTACTTTTCATAAGTTATTTCTTCCAAGTGGAGTGTCATGTGGCACCTTATGTGGGTTTGCGTTTGCTTCTGATGATCAGTTGTCTTCTCAGAGTTCCTGTCCATAACACAGGAGGAGTACAGCCCTATATTGTGAAGGCGATGATTAACAAATACACTCATCTTTTAAGCAATGATGGGAAAAACCACATTATAGGTACTTATTTTGTATTTTATATTAATTTGTGAAATAGGTGATGACTAACTTTTTAAACTTATTTATGAGCAAAATAAAGTGTGAGTTCAGAATTTTCTTAGTCTTTACATGTAGTTTATCTCTCTTGTAACTTTTTTCTCTGAACTCATTTCTCTGTTACATTGAAATACATATTCTGATCAATTCTAGTCAAATGCAAATACAAAATAACAGAATTAAACCATAGCTAAAATATTTAGAGATACCTACTAATATGATAGTATATTTCCAGTTTATTATCTTTATTTTATCACTTAATCTGGCACTGTCTCCATAATTTAATTTTTAAATATCAGTGTAATGCTGCTTCCCAAAATTCTTTTCAAAATTTTACTTGCATATTAATTCTTGGTTTAGTTTTATTATGGAGAATGGTGCAAAATATTCTGATTTTTGAAATGAGCAGAATAGCCTGTTTTCCAAGTAGTCTTGTCATCTTATTAATAAGTAATAAATACTACTATCAGCTTACAAAAACAAAACAAATGGACTCATGTACTTGTCTGTAGTCATCCAAATGATAGTAGTTAATTTATTAAATGCTAGCAACCTAGTTAATCTAGAAGTGGCATTGAGCATGTAAAATTCAGATATAAGTATTGAATTCATTGCTGTCATTTGTAACTAAACAAGGAACAGCTATATTCAGTTTATGAATAGCCTATAAATGATATAATTAGATAAACTATAGAACTTTTTAAGTGGTTACAGTTCCCAAGCTGCTTATATATGTAGATCATGCTAGATCGAATTTTGTACCCTGGAAAAAATCAACAGATTACCCAAAATAGGATCCTTAGGATATATACATCCTCCAGATTTAATAAGTCATGCTGTATTGTATTTTTCATCAGCAGCATTTTGTTGAGAAATCCTGAGTGGATGGGGCTCATATATAAGTGTTTGATGGAACTTGTTATCAGAGGTCCATAACTTTGATCTGATGTATGATGTGGGTACTTTAAAACTGCACTTCCAGAGATCTCTAGAGTTATGATTGTCTCTGCAGTCATAGAAAGCACATTTTAAAGTAGCCTGGAAATAATAAATTTTGATAATGCTGTGAACTATAAAATTGCTTACTAATGTCTTAATTTCCTAAGGAGAAAAAGGTAATTGGAAGTAGCCCTCTTACTTCCTTTTTATCTTATTCCCTACCTTTATTTTTAGAATAAAAAACTGTGTCAGTAGAACTCCCAAAGTGAAATAGATACATTTTAGGCAAGTGGTTCCTGTAAATATACTCTACAACTGCGTATATGTTTGTGAGATCGCTGAGGTCTCATAACATTTTAGTCTTTTAAAAAATATTTATCTAATAACACCTTGTGTTTTGATTATAAAAGAAATGGGGACTTTACTTTAGATGTGGTATTTTGATCTTATATAGCTGGCCTATCACTATGTACCTCTAGAAGAATCAACAGTGGCATCAAGAATGCAAGTGCCTTTTCCTTCCTGCTTTGTCATCTTCAGTATGTGACACTTGTTCTTAGATCAGAGCTTGGCTACCACACTTCTAGGCAATACCTTGGGCAGGTATAAGGAGAATTACTAGAGCTAAAAATTGGAACTGAATGAGTCTGACTCTTCTGGAAGGTTTTCCTGGAAGAACCTCTCAGCAGCTTTCACCCATATTTCATTGACTAGAAATATAGTCTGTGTTGCTTAATGATATGATGTGTGAAATGGAGCTATTTTTTGCTCTTGTTCAAGTGCTGTACAGAGTATACTTCTCAAACCTAGATTGCAGGTAATACAATAAATGCTATATATCACTATAATATATGCTGTCTGTCATTAACCAAAATGTTGTCCATTATATCGTGCATGACTGTAGCAAATAAAATCCCAGCTGCAAGGGATTCTGAGAACAGCACTTTCAGAGCAGGACTAGAAAAAGCAGATAACAAATGGCTATTATGTTGCTCAGTATCTTATATTCAGCATATGGTATGTTATGCTCACCATATGGTATTTGTTCAGTACAGTAGATATCTATGGAGCAACTACCATAAATAAGCTTTAAGTACTTTGCAGTTTCCTTAACTCTCACATAGCTTGCACATGAGAATAGTTATGGCATTATCCTTCCTTTACAGATGAGGAAGTGAGGTTCAGAGAGTTAAGTAATAAGTTGGTTAAAACTGCAAACCAGACAGAAACAGGAAATGCAATCAGGTGCTCTTTACTCCTCAGCCTGCCCATTGCACTGTCACACCAGAGTCTCCTCAGAAACCTCCATGTAAGCTTCAGCTCCTATTTCATAGAATGTGTGGGTTTTACCAGTTAGTATGAGTCACCTTTTACACATTGTCTCTCTCTTTATTTTCTTGGCTGACAGATATTTAGCTATATTATATTTCTACCACCCCAGCAACTGTTTTTATTTTGGCATTGCCAACTTTTCTTTTTTTGCCATGCATTTCCTATGTGTGCTAAGGATATATTCAAACAATTGCAAGGTCTGAAAACTGAGCTAACTATTAATAGAAGAAGCAGGTGTTTTCCATAGCTGAGAAATACTTAGGAATGTACCATCTACTGTTGTGATCATTAAAAACTTTGTGTTTAGGACATACTCACTCTGGTATCATATTCAGTCTGATATCATATGGTTTCATAAGTAAGGATATGTATTATAAACAGTATACCTCATAAATAAAATTTTAATAATTAAATGTCTCACAACACTGCTATAAAATTTCATTTAATAGCAGCGTTTTTTTGTAAAATAATTATCTTCCTTCTTGATGTATAATTTAGATAAAATCACAAAACCTCAGCATTTATAAATGTATTTTAGTTCTGTGGAAGAGAATTAAATTCCCAAACTGGAAATTTTATAAGTATACTTGGATTTATTCTTTATCTTTTCCTTGTGATTCATTTAGATTAAATTAATCTGTATCAAATTTAATTTACTTACTTTTTTTATTTTTTGTTGACTAGTTGAGAAGTGAGAACTTTGGGAGTTCACTGGGTGAGTGTGTTTTTCTTGGCTAAGAAGTAAGGCTTGGTTTTTTTCCTGCAGTTCATTGGGGTTTCAAGGTCGCTTTTCTGCTGACTCTTGCTTCCCACAGAGAAAACACAGATAACCAGTTGTTAGTGAGAGTCACTTAAGCTAAAAAAAAAATAGAATTGGCAAAATCTGTTGTTAAGCATTACCCCTACTTCAGAACTACAGCAGTGCTGATTTGACAGCACAGTAACTGTTGTTTGGACATTAACCATAATGTCTATTAAAATATATTTAAGTTATAATTTCTGTTTTAATGTAGGCCTTCTGATGCAAAGATCTCCCAAAGACAGTATCCTTAATTGAATATCCCAAAGAAAGTTGTTAAGATGTAGTTTCTGCCCCCTCCCGTCCTAAACATGAGGAGAAAGAATGAATACTGCCTTCCGTTCATTGCTTTTGTTTTTGTGGAGCTATACGAGAAAGTGACTAACTCAGCTTCTCTGTCTGTTGTTCTGGTCCTTGTTCTGTTCTTTCCTTTGGGCCCTCAGGCCTTTAAAGTTCAGTATATTGGATAGTAAATTCATGTGATTAGAGAACTGTCTTGAAAAACACTTTTGAGTAATCCAGTAGCTTCCCTTTTATAACATGAACAGTGGTGTTCTTACATTCCTTCATTTAAATCTGAATCATTGAGTATTGTGTTATGTCTGAATCACTGATTGTTGTATCATGTACCCTCCCTTCTCTCCCTCTTTAATTATCAAGAGCAGTGTCTATTTTATTTTGGTTTATGAAAGTGTGCATGGTTGGTTTATTGTCATTTTTATCTACATTGTTTTCTAGCCAATAAACTGTTTCTTGCAGTCATGATTGATCTTATATGTTTTACTGAGATTTAGTCTTGAAGAATTAAAATCTTCAATATTAACATTTTAGGTTTGTGAGGATTAATTTTTCTAATAGGTTTTGCTCACATGATAGACTGTGTGGCTGTTGGTGGACAAAAATTATTAAGAGAATTGAAAGGATCTGTAAATGTTTTTGTAGACATTCTACCTGGGGATATAGTACTATTGTTTTTGTGTTACTCTAAATAATTCTGGGCACATCATAGAATGTTTGCCGTAAAAAAAAAAAAAATGCCATTTATGACAAATGCTAGATGAATTATTTGTGCTCTCAGGTTGTTTCTGTTGTCTTAGTGTAATCTTACAAAAAGGCAATGTGCTTGGGTACTTCTGTTGTGTTGCTTTGCACAGACCTTACTAGGACTGACTGGCTGTTGAGTTTGGGGGGCAGAAGTTTATTGAGCCACTCTGGATTGTGCTGGGAGGTTGTTCCTTTAGTCATTTGCCTTGTGTTGGTTCCAGGGAAGCTGCCCGGGAGTGTCGCAGGAAGAAGAAAGAATATGTCAAATGTCTTGAAAATCGTGTGGCTGTGCTTGAAAACCAAAACAAGACTCTCATTGAGGAACTCAAGGCCCTCAAAGATCTTTATTGCCATAAAGCAGAGTAACTGTCTTTGACTTGGACCTTGTTTGCTATGAACTCTAATCAAGGCAGGAAATGCAGCAATTCTACTAATTGCCATGTGGACTTGTAGAAGGGACATTTGTGACCCTTAAGAATCCAGTTTGGCTTAGTGTTTGAAATTGAATTGGGAATGTTGTTCCAAGATTTGAAACGCAACCATGATCACATTTACCATGCTTACTTCAGACTGTTTGTCAATAGCACGCAAAAAATGTTTTGTTTGCCCTTTTGCTTCTACCTTTTTTTCAGGGAAGCTGCTAAAGAATGTCGACGTCGAAAGAAAGAATATGTAAAATGTCTGGAGAGTCGTGTTGCAGTGCTGGAAGTTCAGAACAAGAAGCTTATAGAGGAACTTGAAACCTTGAAAGACATTTGCTCTCCTAAAACAGATTAGTAGAAATATTTAACTATGAACTGATTACAACATGTACAGTTGCTTTTGAAGGCAATACAATATATAGCCGGCAAGAATTATGGCTTTTTTTTTTGTATCATTCATCGTATTCTCTAATCTCTAACATTCCTAAAATGCTTCACTGTATGTAGTTAATTCTTAGCTGTAACTTCAATTTTTTCAAAGAAACAAACTGTAAACAAAGTTTGTAACAAATTCTTAAACTGCAATATTTGTAAGACTTGTTCCGATGCCACAGTTCCCAATTTACAGTTCCCAATCTCTATGTCATGAATAGTGTCCTATGCAATAATTTTTTTTGCAGGTCTTTAAGAATCATTTTAGGAAAGGATGATCAAAGATAATGCATCCAGCAGTACAATAAGAGTAAACCACATAAAATACCTCAGGAAAGAATTGAAAGAAAGAATTGAAAGAATCTAATGACATGCCTATATGAAAATAATAGCCTATAAATGAATTTATGGCATTTGCAGATTTTTTTATATTAGTTGCTTTGTAACGAAAATATTGTATTGCTGTCTTTGAATGCCAGAGTTAAAGAGTTTTTAATAGAACCATGTTGGTTACACTTCATAGTGTGTGGTGCTCATTTAACTAACTGAATATTTACTACAGTTTTTATTCTATTGTATAATATAAAGATATTGCAGAAGTTCTTGGTTTTAATATAATGTTGGTTTTATATTACCTTATGAAAGTAACAACAAAGAATATCTGAAATAGTTCAGGTTAAAATTGTATTTGCATACCTTGCATACCTTGAAGGGTTGGTGAGCTATTTTCTACCCTGGGTCAAGAACTGAGCAAATACTCTTCTTCCTTTTCACTAGAAAGATAGCCCCAGAGCTTTTATGCAGAAAAGTGGCCGTTATAGCTTCAGTTTATGTGATACAGTAGGCCTTTCTGATGATGGTCTAGAAATCTCCTCTGTGGGTCCCAAATTTTGAATTTTAGCTAATAGTCAAAGGCATTTTAAAGTAAAAACAAAAACAAGCCAAGATTTATTTTCTATTGCAAATCAACTTGAAGTCTACCTTAAAGCAGATATATTTATGTCAGCACATTCAGATGAAGTTCATTACATTGAGACAGCTGTGTTATATACCAGTATCCACATTTCATTCCATTTTTGTAATAAAAGACCTCAAGTTACAAGCCAAAAGTCCTAACCATGTCAGACTATGCCATCATTCACTTATTATGAGATATCTGTTAAATGACCTCTGTGTGATAGACTCTGCTATATTTCTGTCTGTTTCTTCTTATTTGTAAGAATGTTCTACCTATCGACTGTTTAATCGAGCTAGTGGATGTGTTACAGGGAGCTACAAAAATGGAAGGTCATTTGTATAGCATCTAATTGCTATTCATCATAATTTTACTTTTCTGTAACTCCCAGATGGTAGGGCATGCCATTTAAAAACTTTATTTAAAAATACTTACTCTTTCTTCAGAGTCTGAACTCTGAATTTCTTTTATCTCAATTTTTGTCTTCTATAGAGAAGTAAGATGAGGAATGAAGACAAGGAAGAAAAGAGGAAATGAAAAACCCAAGTTTCAGGTGAAGGAAAACGATGCTTTATACTCACTAATGCATTCAGTTACTCACTAGAAATCAAATGTATGTAATCAGTGGTAGACATTGTGAGGGAGACATGAGAATGGGTAGGTAAGATGTGAACAGTGAAAGGCCATAAATATGCTATATGCTAGAATTAGAGGAAAAGTAGGTAAGGATTAAGTTATTCATGTAGGAGGCAGATTTTGAACTAGGCCCTAAGTGATAGAGCTAGATAGGAGAACACAAAGCATGTTTTATTTCAAGGAGTTTGGAAGTTGGAGACAGGAGTTAAAGTTAGTGCTCTCTGAAGAGTTAGTGTAAAATGTATGTGGAAAAGAAAAGGCAGGTGGGGACATTGTATGTATCTGTACTCTTAAAAAGAAAATGCCTGTGCTATTTTGAGGAAGAAGATTGCATCTGATTACTGGGGCTACAAATAGCAGATGTCTCCCCATCTCCCCAGTGGTTTAAACAATAAGGAAATTTTATTGCCTCATAAACCTGGAAGTCCAAAGACTGGAAATCCCAGGGCTGCTTTACTTCAGTGACTTAATAATTGCACCACAACTGGATTCTTTATACCCATTCTGTTTCCTGTTTAGGTGGGTTTTCCTGATCCTCATGTAACTGCCAGAGACAAGACACACCCTTTTCTTTTGTTCTGTTTTAGGAGCAAGAAAAGCTTACACAGAGGACTTTTAGCAGCATATTCCCTCTTGAGTCTCACCACCTAGATTTTCATCATAACCTTCCTTAAGCAATCACAGGCAAGGAGAATGGAATTCAAAGCACCAGGTTACTGGTGAAAATTCAACCCCTGGGGCTCAGAGTGCTTTAAACTTCTATGAAGCACATGACTAATTAAACTGGGTCTCTGAAAGAATGGTGGGTTATCAACAGGCAGCTGCCTCAACAGATGATCCTTAAAGCTCTTAAACCTATTTCAGAAGTTAAGAACAGCTTGAGAGTTAAGCTGTCAAACTGCACAAGAACTCAATTCAGATTCATCTAATTTCTTCTTGAAACCAGAGCTTTTGCTACTATAAAATCACACAATTGGATAGTTCTCCATTCAATCTTAAACAGATACTGCCTACAGGCTCTTGCCAAAGGCAGCAGACAGGAAGGTGGAAGCTGTATGAACTTTGCATGTGAACACAGTACCATGGAAAATCCAGGACTGCAGCTGCATTTGTATCTTTTTTTTAATCATAAATTTCAGAATCTAGACTTTTGAATATAAAAGTTATTGATCTTGGATCATGAGAACCTCACACTGTCATATTTAACTAGGACTTCATGATGTTGGGTCATTGGAAGTGGGCAAGTAATAAAACTGCCAGATGTTTGAGTGTGTTTGAACCCTGTGCTCACCTGAGAGAGGTCGTACTGCATCAGCAACCACACTTCTCATTTTTTCCACATGCTCTTCTTATGCCCAACACATGCTGTTTCCTAGGGGCCTAAAGTATACCTTTCAGGAACACAATTAGGAGTTGTGAAACCAACGGTTTTTTTCGGTCTTCAGCCAAATATAATTCAATAATTTGAAGAGGCAGGAGTCAAGCCAGGCTGTCACCAGTGAGCCAGCCATAATGTGTAGGGAGCTTTGCTCCACTTTAAGCCAAAGTTTTCAGAAACTTAAATGCATCCTATCTTTTCCAAGGTAAACCCAATACACAGGCCTGAGTTGGAACTACTCAAGCATGCATATTTTCATCTCTATGCTTTGTGTACAAATTATATATAAATCCATTTTCTCATAGGTACGTATAATTATACATTTTAGAATTCCAAATATATATTTTAATGCAGAGCACTTTCAACACACAATTACTTGTTCACAATTCATTTTGCCATAGGGTACAGTGTGATAGCTTGCTTAGGAGATTTAAGATGTTTCTTTTTAGGGCCATTCTCATACAGTCACACACAATTCTCTCAGGGTTGGAAAATGATGAATAAAAGAAAACTAACCTTGTGCTTTGTTGTACTAGCTTCTAGTTACGCAAAAAAAAAAAAAAAAAAAAAATGCAGCCCTATTTCTGAGCCAGTCTTAATTTTCACAACAGTTGTTTTTCAGATTTTTTTTCTTAGAAAAACTGTCTTTGAGAAACAGCACTGAAAAGCTAAGCCAGCACAAGTCGAACTACACATACACATATACATATATACTCAAATGCATACTTGATTTGCCTTGTGTTCTTCTTTTTTTTAATAATATAATAGTTTATTTTTACATCATTTTGTGCCTTTTTCCATCCCTGTTGTAATCCCCATGGGCTTCCCATCACCAAATCACCTGTGTGCCATCACCATATCCAGTGTATTTTGTGTTTTTTTTTTT